CGTTGGAAAGGTGAGACATTCAGCTTTCATACGAATGGTCGAAAACATCAGCTTTTAATACGTAATGTGGCAATGTCGAGTTGCGAATATGAAATGAATTGGAATTACGTGGTTTCATCAAGGGGTGTGTGTGTCTGCATACTTAACACCCTCTTCTCTCCCACTCTCACCTATTGAAAACACAAACCCCTGACGTCAGTCACCGGCGAAACAATCGATCGTCGTATATATTTTTTTGTTTGTTGTTATTATTTAGAAGGGTTGAAAAAGGGCCGAATCAAGTGACCATGGGAGATGTAACAATTGTGGGCGATCTTAATTTGGGAAAGGTGTGTCGCGTCTGCCTTGAAGAATCTGCAGGTGATATGCATTCAGTCTTCAGCGAACTCACCACAACCTCTGGAGACAATTTCCAGGATTCAAACTTGGTTTACCAACTACTCACAAGCATATCAAACATGAAGGTGTGAAATCGGATAATTGAAATTGAATTATTGAAAAATATCACCTTTTTTTTTGTTGTTGCATGTAGGTTGAATGTAACGATGGTCTACCTGGTCTGATTTGCACTGGCTGTTTGGAACTTGCGCTGACCTCATACAGCTTCCAGCAAAAGTGCAACAGAACACAATCATTGTACGATGAGTACTGCTCTAGTCGTCTGAATGTTATTGTTGATGATATTTTGGATGAGGAGCTGAAAGTGGATGAATTCAGTCTGCTGTCTGTCCTGGGTGCTGACACTGGGTTCGACGATTTGCCGACTGCAGCTGATGGTGAGAGTCTGGTGGATATTGAGGAGTTCAACACTGAACTAGAACAGATGACGAAGGTAATTGATGATGATGATGATGGTAATGATGAGGTTGAGGATGAAGAGGAGGAGGAGGAGGCTACAGTAGAGAAGAAAGCAAAAGATAGATACAGGTGCACAGAGTGTAATAAGAGTTACAAGTTTAAGAACAGTTTGAGGTTGCACATGAAGAACCACAGTGATGAGAAGGCATACAAGTGCACACTCTGCGGAAAGGCCTTCAAGCAGCCCACCTCACTGTCTGCCCACTTCAGGAGTCACGAAGGAGTGCAGCCACACAAGTGCGAGGTCTGCGGCAAGAAGTACAGACAGACAGCAACCCTGAATGCACACATGCGGGTGCACACAGGACACAGACCATTCCTGTGCACCATCTGCGGCAAGGGATTCAGGTTCAATCATCACTCACTCACTCTTATCTACTACATTCATCTCCATCAATCCCATGAAAATTTTCAACTTGATTTTCATGTACGCTTATACGTTTCAGGCAAGCCCCCGATTTGAACTATCACATGAGGACTCACACGAAGGAAAAACCGTACATGTGCAACGTCTGTGGTAAAACAATGACGATGCAATGCCACTTGGTGATGCACATGAGGACGCACACGGGCGAAAGACCATACGAATGCGAGCAAGTTGCAATCAAACAATCATCTCTCTGATAATACAATTTGCTGTTGTTGCAGAAGCTGCAAGAAAAGGTTTCCTTCGGTGTCCCGTCTCAAGAGGCACGCCATAATACACACCGGTCTGAAACCCTTCACCTGCGACATCTGCAACAAGTCATTCAACAGGTCGAGCACCCTCAAGGTGCACGTAAAAATACACAGCGAGGAACGACCGCACGGATGCCCCATCTGCGAAAAAAGATTCATACAACCGAACACACTCCGGAGTCACGTTGCAAGCGTGCACAGCGCCGAAACGACTATCCCGCCATCTCCGATATAAAACAACTATCGATATTACATATATATATATTGACTTTTTCCCTTTACGTTTCAGGTAATGTATAATTATAGAATATAATAATAACAATAATACGAAGATATGAATATACATTATTTTGGTTATGTTATAAGGTTTAAATCTCACATGTTAAATTCCAATTCAATCATTATCATATGCATACATTGATGTATTAATTAATTAGTTATTGCAACTGTTACAAACATACCTATTCACTTACTTACTTAATTACTTAATGCATACATAGAAAAATACTGAAAAAATATATATATATATGTTGTTATGTTATGTTTGTATGTATGTATGCATGTTTTCCTAATTTCGCTAAAATATATAATATGTATATAAATATATTGTGTTGAATAAAGAGAGGAATGGCTAATACTTTTCGTTAATAATAAGAGAATAAATGCATTAACGAAAATACTATATAAATAATCTGTTTGTGTGTGTATGTGTATGTATGTATGTATGTATGTAAATGAGAGATAAATAATGTTTTACTACGCACGTAAAACTTGATGAATTTCTCTCAATAGGAAATAAATAAATTGCAATGGGGAAATAATCACTTGAACATGGAGTATCCTCCGCCGCCGCCGCTGCCATCAGGGTAGTAGCAATAGTAGTTTAAGGAAAAGATGTAATCTTGGTATCGTTGGGCTTGGATGGATAAATGCTATCTACGCACGTTCACCAATGGGAACCACTCGGTCATCTCTTTGGTCAGATCGAACTCGCTCAGCTCCAGTTCGATGCCGCCGAGGAACTCGTTCTCCTGTAGCGCATCGTAATTCCACACCGTCGCCGTCAGCGTTCTGTTGCTGATCAAATCCAACGTCATCCTGTACTCCAGCTGTAAACAAATCACATAATTATAAAATATAATGATGATGATCAGTGACGACGACGTTCACTTACCATTTCCATGAAGCTCGGATGACAGTTCTTCTTGACAACCTTCGTCTTTCTTTTGGTCTCCTTCGTGGGATCCGGCAACAGGTAGACTTTGACGTAGGTGGATGGTTCTTGAGCGTTGCCGACCAGCGGCAGACTTCGCACGTGGTGCACCATCACGCTGAACACGCCTCTAGTGAAATGGATGGAGAGCTTGAGCTGCCCCTTCAAACGACCCATGTCCTTCCTCTCCTCCAATCTACCTCCATCTGACAACAACAACAACTGTTAGATCTGAAGAATAATCGTCGTAACATATCGTTCTTACCTTTTGATTTTCTGCAAAACTGATCTGCCTGATCGCGCAACAACGGATGGAAGAACGTATAGACGAGATCCGAATGCGAGATTTCGTCGGCCGTCCGGAAGAGTGACGCGAGGAAGAGCGCGATATCATCGGATCGTTTCTTCGCCACCTGCTTGATGTTGGAACGTCCCACATGAAGACCGGTCGAGAGGCTAAAACATTGAATTTTGAAACTTACATCAAACATCATCGATAAACAGATAAGAAGATAGACAGATAGATAAGAAATTGGATTATTAATAACAACAGCAACACAAAATAAAAATGGAAATAAATAAATACATGGACTGTTCGCACTCCCTGCGATAGATTAAAGAGAGCTGTGAATTGCATTTTATCTAATCTCGGAAATATTGCGAGAATCGGAGCGAGCGCAAAGAGGAGGCAATAAGCAAGGTTGTTGTAATTGCGCGATATATACACGATCGTTCATCGCCTGCCAGCCAGCCAGCAAAACCCACCCACCCATCCATCGTCTCCTGCCTCTCTCTCTCTCGTCCCATCAGCAACATCTATTAACAATCCAGAACAAACAACAAAAATGGTGTTGAGTTTCAAGAAGGGTAAATTTCTGTTTCGGAGAAAAGTTAAGAAGCCGGTGGAAAAACCTCCAGTGAAAGCAGAATCGATCGTTTGCTTGAGATACGTCCAATTCGACGAATTCGACACGAACTGTATGTATACACTAGAGAGACTAGAGAGTGAGTGAGTGAGTGAATTAGAGATAATTAAATCTGTTTGATTCGATTTGCAGATGTTATCAAATCGACGCAAAAATCGGAAACCATCGTTCCGGTTGCGGTTGCAGCACCTGAAAATGTAATTAGCAGAATCAACAGTCGCAGCCTCGAATCGGTTTCCACTGAAGAGTACTACGATGAGGAAGAATTAACGCAATTGCAGAAAACCACGGCAGAAGTAGAATCGAAGGTGAAATTTGCGCCCGAAGAAGAGTACGACAAAAATAATGTGGAACAGAGGAAAACCGACAAAACTGTAAGAATAGAAACAGATAAACGCGAAGAAGTGTCGATTGAAACCGTTGCCGACGTCTCGAAGAAGCAGGAAACAGAACCGAAGGAGGAGAAACCGATAAAAAGTATATTGAAGAAGGGCACGACGGAGGAAAGCGAGAAAAAGTCGACGTTGATTTTCATGACGGAGAATCACGACGAAGACGACGAGGAAAAGGAGGAGCATCCGCTGTTCGATGACGGTAAGAAAGAAGACGAAGTGGATGAAAAACCGCTGAAAAAATTCAACCAGGAGAACGTTTACAATAAGACGACAGACGAAGACCAGGAGGAAGAGGAGAAAGAGTACAGCAGCAATGCGGCAAGCATATTCTTCGATGACGATGAACCGGAACCGACGGAAAGAGTACGAAAGATCGATTTGAAGAGACAGGACGATGATGTGGTGGACGACGCCGCATCGGTGGGCAGTCAGACGAGCGCTTAAACGCATTGATTTTAAATTAAGTTAAATAAATTTTGAAATGAATAGTAATTGTGTCTGTGTGTCTCTCTATATTTATACGTTACCTGTGTAGCTTTGCCAGCGGAAAGTTCATGCAGAGCTTCTGGTGCAACTCGAAGAATTCCTTGTAGGTGCGGAGAAGTTCCATAGGTTGCGTCTGATCGTGCCGGGTGACTCGCAGCACGTAGACGTAATACTTGTGCGGATCGTAGCGTTTCTGATAACCGACGACCTGCACGTGGCTCAGCTTACCGTCGGTTTCGAGGGTGTAAGTCTTCGGAACGAAGGACAGAGTCTCACCGTCACCCTGATCACCGGTGAACTTTAGCTGGGCGAGGTTGTGCAGGAAGAAGTTGAACTGCGTGAACCACGACTTGAGCGAACTCTCGATGAGGCGGGCGAAGTAAGCGGCCGCCTCTGGATTCGATTGGCCCGGGAGTAGAGCCTTGTGCAGATTGGACACAGCCTCAGTAGTCACACCTTTCATCCCTGACGATGCCATCTGAGGAGAGGAATAGAACATAAGTCATCAGTATATTTATTTATTGTATCGGGTAATTTATTGCAATCGGTACTTACCAAGGTGAAGAGGTGCAAGAAGAGATTGTCGTTGTTGCGGACAATGTTGAAGGCCTGACAGCAGAGATCGACAAACTTGTGGAACTTCTCGGAAGGTCTGTCGCCCCCGTTGATCACGTAAGCCATGTCCGAGGTGAGGACGAACGGTGTGCGATCTCTTTTGAAGTTGCCGAACATCTGAGCGTCGCCGAGGAATTTCCCGAAATCGATGTGAAACAGGTGGCCGGACGTTTTGAGCATGATGTTGTCGTTGTGTCTGTCGCAGATGCCAAGGATGTACGTGACGACGCAGTAGCCGGCGCATGAGGCGGTAAAGTTCTCGACGGCCCGCCCATACTCCAGTTCGGAGGGGTTGTGCTTGGCCAGCCACTCGGCGATTGGCTTATCCTTGAACGAACCGGTCAGTCCGTGCTCCACCTGTATTTTCCGTAACGTCTCCGCCTTGCTCACCATCTCGATCATCCCCCTCTTCTTTCCAGTCGGAATGCACGTGTACGCCACCATCTTCAAGTCCAAACCCTCCTTCAGCCACAGCTTATCCATGAGCCGCACCATCTGCAGCGTTAGCATATCCTGTTGCAGCTCATCGCCCACCTGCAATTGCAATTTAAATAAAAAAAACTCGCTCCTCATCCACGATGTGTATCTTACCTTGAATATGGCCGGAATGGTGGAGCCATCCTTCGCCAGGAAGCTGATCTTCAGTGGCAACGTGTACGAGGGAAAGTAAGAGCAGGAGGCGACGTTGATTCCGCACACGCGCAACGTCGGAGACAGCGGCAGACTCGTCGGATTGTCCTCGAGCATCTGATGTACGTTTCTCAATGAATTCGCGAGTAGTGACATTCGCACAGATTCCTTGGTCCTCTGTACACCAACCGCGATCTCGTGCAGCTCCCGCACCAGGAACTGTTGACTCAGGAAGCAATTGCGAAGTGCTTCGCCGCATATCGCCAGAAGAGCGCGCAGCATCAACAGCAGCCTTCGGTGATGACGAATCTCGCTTATCTCGATCGCGTCCCTATCCACCGCATCGAATCCGTAATTCTGTGAAATGCATTGCAAAATAATAATTAATTACGGAATGTTGTATTATTTACCTGAGGCATAGTTCCAGGCAGATTATGACTGAGCAACCAAAAGAGGTGATGAGCGACGCGAGGCGATTTCAATGCTCGCTCTAGGAGGAACCTCGCCAGAGGGGAATTCTCGAAGGTTTCATGTCTCAAGGCGACGACCAACTGCGGCAGATAGTCGACTAATTCATCGCTGCTTATCGGGCCGATCCATTTCACCGCCAATCTTCGCACCTCCGTATCCGGGAATCTGTAAGATTGATCATCAGTCAGTTTAAGTTTAATTAATATGTATCAATCACAACTTACGTTGGAAGGAGCAGCTGTATCGCCTCAATCGGTCTCATTGGTTTCCAATGTTTGAGCATCCCATGAAGATCGGCAAGCCGCGCCCATTCCCAACTGTGCGATGCAAGCAAAACCTTCGGCAGGGCTCGCGGATGTTCGTAGAGGTAGTGTCTCTTGTCCCATAACACTTCACGCAATTCCGGCGGACACTTGTACAACATATCCTGATCGAAGAGGGCGAGCAACTGCTGCTGCGTCTGATCGTCTAGACTGCTGAAGTCGAAGCCAGTGAGAGCGCGCAAAGTATCCGGGGTAGGCGGGAAAATCGTCCTGGTTGGACCCATCAGTTGTACACCCAGCACCGGATGTTCGGCGAAAGGATATGTGCCAGGACTGGGCGCCGGACCATATATGTGACTAGATTCCTTCGGCCAGATGGACAGCAGTATATTTCCTTGAGCCATCATACTACAAACATTGAATTAAAATGAAAACAATAATAATAATAGTAATAATAATCTTCATAATTTCACTTACTTGTTGTAATCGAAGAATTGCACCGAGGCCCAACCCACCTCCTCCTGCTTGTACTGCGGCATCGGTTCCTTGTCGCTGTCCTTTTCGTTACTTTGCGCCAATGTCCTACCGTAGATGACGAGCACCAAACGGGCTTCACGCGCCAACGCGCACACCGGCATCTGCATGTCCAGCCTAAACAAACAATTAATTAATGCTAATACGAACTAGCAATGATATCTCTATCATCTTACCAGCAATCGAACAAGATCCTTGGGTACATGTTGTTGGTGATTTCGCATGGTTGCGACAGCTCCGGATGACCCACGGGTCTTGTCCCGTGGTAAATCTGCGCTGCTATCAAGTAATTATCGTAATTCCAGTCCGGGGATGGTCTGTAAATCGCGCACACCTTCGCCAATATCGTGTCCGTCACATCGGGAACACTGCAACTTGCTGCAACAAAACAACAATTAGTAATTGGATGAGTTTGCACCAGTATATAATTTTTGTTGTACGTACAGATTCTTTCCTCGCCATCGGAAACATCGAAATCGACGCGAAACGCGTGGCTGTACATTTGGATGAGACTCTTGAGGGCGTCCCGTATCTTACCGCAGCTGTTCGCAATATCGGCACTCAATCCCTTCCAGATTTCTATACGCTGCAAAGGGCAGAGAGCACCGTTAATATCGTAACACTTCGATTTTCGGTTTCGCCGAACTCTTACATCGTTCGCGCAGTGCTTGCTGTAGACGTCCTTGAACGCGCTCAATGCTTGCGTGATCTCGATCGTCTCCAACGAACCCATCAGTTGTACGACCAACTTGGTGGACTGCAGAACGCCGGACGGTTGTATAGATCCGCCGCGATTGTTCTCCGCCTCAGTGGCGGCCGCCGTTATTTTGTCCACCTCCTTCTCGAAAGTCTCTAATAAAATTCGTAAATTATCACAAGTAATTGGAGAGTTCGGCTCGCCGGGAATTATATCCTCCAGCCGGATCTCCCTATCACAATTGTCGTCTTGTTTCTATAAATAACAGAACAAAACAAAAAAAAAATAGGAGAAAAATTACGTTACGTTACGGGATAGAAAGAAAGTAGAGATTTTGCGAAAACTACTCACGGTCCTCCTAAGAGATTTGTCCACCATCCTGTCGGGTATGAGGATGAGCACCACGTCTTCCTCCAATTTGAGGCACTGATGCACGTACTCGTATTGAGAGAGCAACGTGGACGGCACCAAATACTCATTGTAACCCCACACCTTCAGAGTGTACTGATCGGCGATCGGCGCTTCCAATCCGAATGTCAGCTGGAGAGTGATGTGCTGCACGCTCGATGTGACTGAAATAATAATAATGGAAATCGTTATATTACAACGACCTAAGAAGGAAACAAATAGACTTACCATCGCAGGTAAAGGAGAACGGGCGTTGAGTATCAGCGCCTTCAAAGTGCGGATATACAGACAGTTTGATGCTGGTGCCATCGCGGTATTGATACTCCATCATGGGACTCACCACCAATCCCATATTTGTATTTGGCGAATCGAATTTGAAATCGTCTGCACGGAAAAGAAAAAGAATTAACATGCGACAATATTGGTTAAGGGAGAGAGACTCACTTCTCAGTTTCTGCACCATCTGGTGGAATGCTTTCAAGTCGCCGTCGTGCTTCGGCTTCCTCTTGTCGATCGTCGTGACCGTTTCAAATAGGAGCGACGTCTTCTTGATCTGCAAACAAACAGAAATCAATTATTTATTAATAACAACAACAACAATAGAGATTCGAGAAGTAGACTAACCCACGACGTCTTTCGTTCCATGGTGGAGTGCGCCCTTGGAGGCAGCGGCGGTGGCGGCGAGATCGGCGCGTTCTCGGACTTCACGACGGCCGCGTACATCGGGTCCGAAAGACTGTTGCTGCCCGAACCCGAATAGATAAAGTCGTACGGGTCATACTCCTCGTAGATGCTGTCGCAAATCGAAGCCTTGTCGTCCACTGTAATTAAATCGCAACGATTTGAAATAGAAGAAAAAAAGAAGGGAAGGTATGCAAACTTACGCGAGTAGTCTGGTGTGAGGGATCGAGCGATGGAATCGTACTCGGTGTTGTTGCTCGAGAGCGGATCGAAGGCCTCCAGGATGCTGACGCGAACGCCGGCGCTACCCTCCTCCGTCCCCGTCGGAGTTAAATCTATCAGATTTCCGCCGTTATTAATATTACCGTATCCAACCGCTGCCGCCGCCGCTCCTTCAGTGACCATCAGTTGTCGTCTGCTGGTCTGAGAAAGCGCACCACCTGCTGCAACGTTGCTCTGCAGTCTTGGCTTGGCGTTCATCAGCTTCACCTGCGGTTGACGCTTGGGCGGAAGCGCTGGCAAATTACGCAAACGTTCCTGCATATCATGAATGTACAATATTATCAATCTTATCTGAGCGATAAAACGCGGAAAATAGTTTCGCACGTCTCTACACTCACCTCCGGAATGGTATTCGATGGCTGGTGGTGATTATTTGAGAAGAGCGGTTTGGCCAGTCCAGACGCCGCCCCCCCTTGCGTAAACTGTCCGCCCATTAATGCGTTGTGATTCCAACCGATCGGTGGTGGCGCCGAAGGAAACTGATTGTAATTAACAGTCGCCGTCGACGACGTTTGATAATTGTAATGGTTCTGCTGTTGCTGTACATGACTGTTGGCTTTATTACTATGGGGGGGAAAAGCAAAAAGTAAATTACAGATTATCTATTTCTAATTTCTTGAGCATAGATTACCTGTAGATCTGTCGGCAAAACTGGAGCAGTTCTTGGCTGGTGTCCGGACTCGTGAAGGAGATCAGATCGGGCGTGGACGCATCCAAAATGGGCGGGGTTGCGGTGCTGTTCCTCCTTGCGGATATCGGGGGCGGAGCAATGAGCGATGGAGTTTGGCTGTTGGAGATGGCGCCGGGCCTCGGCCGCGACTTCACCACCAACCTATCGCTACGATTCGAATCCGTTTCGGTCATCGACGACGCTCTCGACACTAAACGTGAAACAAACAATTTGTACTCTGGTAAAGTATACATTAACCAAATCATAATTACCACTCCTCATCGGTTTACTGATTGAGTTGCTTGATATGTTCAGATCTTGCATCAGCTTCTGGTTTTTGAACTTCTCAAGCGCCAGCGACTCCAGGCTGAGTGCCTGAGCCCTCTCCAAATCGTCCTTGAATTGCTGCTCATAGTCCACAGTGCCCCTCGCCATCTGTAACCCAAAAATTACAACATCATCAACATCGACAACAACTTAGAAACAATTACAATTTGATCATGTTTTCCTTGTTGACCAAAAACAAATGATGTAGTGCGTTTACAATGCACACATATAATTTAATCGAGTGCTTAAGCACATAGCAATAATAGTAATATTGCAGCAGGTAATGAAGCAAACTCACCATAACAAATCACTTTCGGGGATGTCCTCCACAAATTGCTCTACAACAATGTATCATTAGCACTTGTTCACATTCTCCACAGCCTACTCGCTTTTTCCATCGACGATTTTAATGTTAATGCGAAATTTGCGACGCACTCGAATATATTTATATAATCGGGGGGGCATAAAAACAATCCTTGTATAATGTGTGTGTGCCTGCCAGTGGTGTGTGCAGTTAAACACGAACGAAACGATAACAAAACTCTCCGGAGTGTATGTGTACAAAAATAAATACTTGACGTCTGTCAAAACGGGTGCTGTCGGTCGTGGCGGACGCAACAAGTTCCGATCGCAAGGTTCGCGACTCGACTAAACGATGAAGTTGACGCATTCACGCGACAGATGGAGCGCGCAAAATTTGAAAGTTTAAATTAGTTTCAACGATCGATGATTTGCCAATCTTTTTTTTTAATTTGCGTCTGCATATATTAATTGCTGTTCACGTTTTGAGGAGCGTCTCGGTGCACTTGCTCAGATTCGCAGACTTCTTCAGCTCCAGATTGAAGTTCTTGAGGACGGCCTTCTCCATCATCCTGATGCGATTCTCGTTGCTGGCGCGCTGACCGTACGTCTGTTGGCGTTTGAATTTGATCATCTGAAATGGAGGAGGAGGAGAAGGAAATTCGATTAATTGCAAATGAAACGGTTTTCTTCATGACCTTCTGTTTGACGACCTCCGGGTCAGGTCCCAATCTCCCCAACGCCGGCACTTCTAAGATGAGGCGCGTCTGCGAAGAAGGCGGCTTCGGACGTGGAGGCGCGTTGCTGTGACTGCGCGCTTCGGATACGCTTCGTAAATTGTCGCCGGACTCTAGCTCTAACAGTCCGCTTTCCACGTTCCTCTTCGCCCGCCGTTCTACCTCTATGTGATTCAAGTAGAAGCTGAAAAGCAAAGTTTTGCGTTAGTTCAATTTCTAAATGCGTTCCGTTGGCGTTCACCTGCTGCTGTCCGAAACAAAAGACTTGGCGTCGACGAATTCCGTGGAATCTGAGGCGGCTTTGGATGATGTTGTTGATGACGTCGATGATGATGATGACGATGACAATTTCCGATCTGTATGGGGATCGACGACAGCGCGCGTCGTGTCGTTCCCGCCCGTCCTGATGTACCCGATCCTGGCGTGGAAGATGTCCAGGTACGACTTTTTCGGTTTCGCCTCCAGGATGATGCTGCTTGCTGTCACGCTGCAGAAGCTACCGTTGGCATCCCTGCGACATAACTCTTCCTTTCTCGCGATCGGTTTCTGCTTTCGGTTGGGTCTCCTGGAAGGTGGTGGTCTGGTAACGGTGGCGGCACGATGATGATGATGTTGCTTTCCAGACGATAGTTTTACTTCGCTCTTGCAGGTTTCCTTTCCGTAAAGAGGAAGGATCGTGGAGAGATCTGGAGGTTCGACTGCGGCCACCGTCTCCAACGGTTTTCCGAACGTCCTCTCATCCTCGTTCTCCTCCAGAGAGTCGTACGGATCCATGCGCACCGTTGACTGTCGCACACAATGACAATTGAACAAAAGACGAACAACAAAAATACACGTTGTCAGATTTGTCTCATTTGAAATCCTGAAACAAAATGAAATAATAATAATAATGGATTAGTTTAAATGTAATATGGTGATGGTGAAACTTATGAGAATGTACAGAGAATCGGATTCGTTGCCAATAAGTAAGTTTCAGGTCGAAATTGCATAAGAATATAGGTTGTAATGCCAGAGGTCGCCATCTCGCCACCCTTCGCAACGCAGATCCCAGTGGGTCAGGTCAGTGGTTGCGTCAGTTATTGCGTCATCGGGACGTCACGGTGACGCAACGGGTGTAAGTGAACTTTGGAGTCCATCGATCGATCGACCGTCGACGACGACGACAACGACGACGGCTGGAAANCCATGGTTGTTACTACGGCGACGGCCCCCACGTCCGGCCTGCTGCCACGTGCAAAACAACCTCAAGACATTTGACGATCGACAACAACATCTTCGGTGTCCAGCAATGATTGCCGCACCGGAAGTCACCGGCGGCCCCCGCATCGCCGCAACCAATTAAACGCACTTCCGCTCCTTGGATTCAATACAACTACAGACATAGATAGAGAGAGTGAGAGAGAGACAATATGGTAACAGCAGCGTTCGACCCATTTGCCCCCGTCTTCGAGTTATGTGCACGAAGGTACGATTACTAATTTTCAAATTTCCCATCTGCCGCGCTCCCATTTCGAAATCGCAAAAATCTACAGTTGGCAACAACTTCGAAACTTTAAATTAACGAATACCAATTTATTAAAATATTTGCCCAACATCAACGCATTACATTTGAATATACAAAATGAAGCAAAGCATTGCGAGAATGTCCATTATAAATTTTATTATTGACCGTTGGCAACCAAACGAGCACCGGACATTTAAATATGTGCCATATGTGAGTGAGATGTTATGTAAAAGAGTGAGAGAGAGACTAATTAGTTTGTTCGCATTCCGTACTTTTCACCTCTCAACCTAGAACTTCTTGTTATTTTACCATCATCTGTGCGTGTTTGTATGCACTTGGAGTTGTTCTCTCTCCACATACTTTTCACATGCACACATCTAGAACTCTGTGTATTGCTGCTGCTGCTGCTACTACTACTTTCACCCATTTCGCGGATGCACCGTTCGTTGCATTTCGCTGGATTCGTTACGCAAAGTGAAATTTAATAATAAAACAACACAGAAATATCATTGAGCAGATCCGCTCGCTCCACAACACGAAAACATTTAATTTTTATCTCTATCTTTATTATTTTAGTAGGATTACAAATACCAACTGTTTAAATTTAAAAAAAAATCTAAAACATTTTTTGTAACTGAATTTATAAATGGGTTTGTGTTGTGGTATCGCGTTAAAGTCTCCAATTCGAAAAAGGAAAGAAAATTATTTTTTTCATTAATTGAGGGAGCCTGAACTAATGAGGTTTTCACGCGTCGTTGAAAAAAAAATGAGAAGAAACGAATCGTTTCTTAATTTCCGCTCCCAATTCTTTTGCACATTTTCGTTTTCCCATCATCAGCGTCATCAACATCAAAGGCGATATCATTATTATTATTATTGGCTTTATTGCAAGGCGAGGATTTTGATTGGAAGGAAGGAGAGAAAAACGGAAATGAAACGTTTCTCGCCAGCTGTCACAAACGGTTTCTCTCCGGAATTGTTTGTTTATTTGTTTGTTTCGAAAGGTCAGTTCGATCTTAAGCAAATTAACGATTTTTCATTACTTTATATAATTAAACTCGAATTTGACAGTGTCAAATGGATGAAAGCGTAGCAATCATATTGAATACATGCAAGATTCTCCAAACATTCAGCTTTCATATGCATCTTTTAGATTCTATTCTATCTATTATAGTTTTCGA